TGTAGCAGATGTCCATGGGCGGCGGTATTCACTTAACATCAGGTGAACCGTCTGCTCGTTTGACAACTTTTCGCATAAAAAAAAAAAAAAAAAAAAATAAAGTCGTCATAAAATCTGTCAAAGCTCAAAAACTGCGTCTAAACGCATTGTCCATCCAGACTATATTTGTATTAATAATTTAATTCTCACTCCGAATGCTACAAATATGTGTTTGATAAAGTGACAAAGGATGTAACAGTTGACAAATATTTTTTGCAATACTGCGTTGTTTATTCAATGTTTAGTTTTTAATACATTCCACCACAGCCAAAAATAACATAAAAACGGTAGGTATTCCAAATGAAAATCTGCTTCAGACTATTAGACACCTAAATAAATTAAAAGAATATATAAAAGTTTGATAGCTGCGTGGCGCAGTTGCCATGGTTATTGGCTTCGGCGTCGGGGGTCATGTGTTCGATTCCCACACGGGACAGCTATTTGTGTGACCCACAGACTGTTGTTTCGCATCAGACAAACACCCAGTTTGTTTGTCCGCGTGAAATTTATGTTTATAAAACGTACTTACAACACAGAATAAAAAAAAAACAACAGTATAAGATAAAGGAGCATTCGTAGTGGAACAATTATCAAATCTATTTCAATTATTATAAAAATAAAAGTATTAAACTGAAATGACTGTAACGTTTATGTTAAGTATCGATAAAGCTAGAGTCCATCCCTAGAGTGTTGCCCTCGGTAAATGCGCCCTTGCACTTCGGAAGGGTGAAGTTGAATTATTGTTTAGAGGCGCAGGGGGAGGGGGAGCCTTTTAAACCGGGAAACCCCAGCCATTGTGCATAGCCGATTTCCCGCTTTCCGCCATTTTAATGTCCTTCCATCGCTATTTGTGTCACTTCGATGTGTGGGTGGATCGATTGTTGTAGAGCAAAGGAACAAATCAACAATACTAATACTCAACTTAAATTCAAAAGTAAAGTAAACTATCAACCTATACTTGTCCCACTGCTGGGCAAAGGCCTCCTATGTACAGAGGGTATACTCTACGCAGCCCCATTGTGGATTGGCGAACTTTTTTTTCATTATTATTTCGAAAATATGCAGGTTTCCACACGATGTTTTCCTTCACCGCTGAGCACGTGATAATTCGGCACTTAAAATTAACAATTTCATTGGTGCCAGCACCGGGGATCGAACTCAGGTTGCTCGAGTATTTTAAATGAAAGGCGATCACGGATATCACGGCTTTAATTCAAATTTAAAAAAAATACTTATGTCAAAATATTAAACTTTACAAGTTTACGATCACTCTCCAATGTGTATTTCATGACTCCGCTTTCCTTATAGCGGTTAGCTAGCCTTATAAACTATATTATTAAATACAAAATAAAAAAGCAAGCAAGAATAAGTGAAGTTATTCTATAAATTGACATTATATAAAGTACAGAACAATGTTATTTGACATAAGATTATCGTGAAATTAAGGTATTTGATACATTTAATTATTGAACGTGTATTTGAAGATGGCAACCGAGCTGATGGTTCACGTGATGTTAAATGATAATCGAAATGAGAATTGGACCACCATGGATTTTGTGTATGCCCATGTAAAAACTTGTCATCAGGTGAACCGCCGGTTAGTTCAGTATTTCACTCGCTCATTTAACTGTGTGAAGTAGAAAAAAGGGATGAACGATGACTCAAAGGTGAGTCATTACAAGCTTTTATATTAACGTGAATTGTATTATTTATGGTTGAATAAATGAGTATTTTTTGTTTCAAGCACCATGTCATAAACAAAATAATTAAGTCGAATATAAGTTCTACATCGAGCACTTGATACTTTGAGTAACTTACTCCAGGCAAAATTTCGATGAGCATAATATAAAAAGATTATTCTAGTCGTGTTGACAAATATTACTGATTGTATAGGTTACAATCATACATAATTATGAAAGATCAAGGAAAAACCCGTGCGTACATTTTATAACAACCAAACTCAATATGCGAATGAAATTCGTGCCGTGCACAGAGTAATTTATTAGAAATCTCATAATGACGTCTTATGAAAATGATATACAAACATCTATTACTGAAAACAATTACTTTTTGTTATAAATACAACTGAATAAAGCACGTTGGCCGTTCGATCGAAGCAAAAAAAGTTGGACGTGACTACCGACTAGCGCCGAGCAATATTAAGTCGCAAATTGTTCTCCAAATATCCTCTAAGCTGCCAAATTAAAAATTCATCGCAGACCCCACCGCTTCATAATTTCTGCCGGTATAAAATGGCACCCGAATCGTGACTTTGACGAGGCGAAAGTAGCGGAACGCGCGGCTCTTTTTCTCTGGTCTTTAGCAACGTTATCCGGGAGGAGGAATCAAGTACAAATATTCAGAGTATTTCATTAGAGTGGGCGATTTCGACCGTTCCTAAGTTTCGCAAGATTCTACGGATGTACAGCGAAGTTTTGAATTCCTCCTTCGTTCCCCTTTACGTACGCGGGGCACCCAGACTGTGATTGCGAACGAAGCGGTGGACCGGCATATATAACAAGTTGGATCATACCATGTTCTCTGAGTCAAAAAAATATAGGTTCTGTAAAAGTAATCACCAACATATCATAAAACCTTCTCCGAAACACGCTGCATTTTATGGTTTGAGTATTATTTTTGATAAGTTCCGTAGTTTTCGCAGTATAACCGAACGAAAAATGCGGCTCTCCATTTATATATAGGCTAGGTCCAGGGTTAGAATCCCTGTTTATAATGAATTAGATAAAAGTATGTATAACTTGAATATAGAAATATAAAAACCTATACCAGGCGAACCGCAATTTTCTCCATTTCTATCCTAATTGATCGATAAAAGAAAATAGGTCTCATAGTTTTACACAACATTCAATGACAAGATTTCAATTTCCTGGTTAGCCTTCAAAATTATATTAATAATTAGTGTTTTGGCTTATTTAGTTCTTAAAACGTGTTAGATGGGTCCATTCACAACACAGATAAGAAAATCCGAAAACTCTGGCCCGAACTGATCGCAAAAAAAAAATAAGTATATATAAAGTAGGATGCTTTGTTTGTACTTTCTAATTTTAAATTTCAAAAGTTCGGTAATAGGGTATCGCTGACGCAGTACCAGAAGATATCAAGGGGCTGGTCTTACGCCATATCCAAGATTCCCTTTGTTCGGGCCCCTTCGCGTCGACGTCATCGTTATCAACAAATTTGAATAGAGAACGCGAATTTTTGATTTTTCCATTTCCCGCCACTGCCGAGCGATACCTGCCAGCTATTGTGTCGATGCCCCCATTTTTAATATCGGCTTTAAGAAATTCGAGCATTGTCGCCGGTTTCATCGAGGGCTGCACCGTGCCCCACAATGCTGTTATTATAATTGTATGTAAGCCCCGACAGCTTAGTAAACGCTATGGCAAGAGTTAATGTTCGAATCTCGTGCAAGACGACCCTTATAAGAAGTAGTTCGGTATGGCGACAATTCTTAAACAATCATTTAAACATTTCAACTTAAAACGTGACCAAAAACCGTCGTAGGCAAAACGAGTTTTTAAAAAAAAATAACTTTAGTATTGGGGCATTACATTAATTTAAGAAGGACAAAAACAAAATCCAAATTTTGCTACCAGTGTCTTCGAAATCCACGAATAATTTGACCGAATGATTCACAACAACAATAATTATACAGATTGATCTATACCATCGATTTTGTCAGTGATATCTTATCTATATCATAATTTTATTGTAATCTTGTGAGTAACCAACCATCGGCTCACTTGAAACTTGTGTGTTTTTAGTCAGATTTCATCGACAGAATTAATGCTTACACAGCATTAATTCTGAGATTGAAAAAGCTGGATTAAAATAATTCGTTACCCTTCGACAGCAGGTAGCCTACCCTATCTCCTTAACTTGCAAAGAGACTTACTTTCTGCCTTTCATGAAATAGGTAACGCTACGGCATAATGTATTGTAGGATTAAAATTTGTAGAAAAAGTACGAAAAAGTTGTCTCTGCTGTGGGAATCGAACCCACGTCTTCGGCATTCGCGGCCTGATGCTTTAGCCACTAAGCTAAACGGCTGATTGCCGAACCGACGAAAATCTCAATGTAATATGAAGTTATTAATGTTTGGATATTACTGCTACAATATTTTGAGGAGTCGACAAGTCCCCACACTACTAATCCGCACTGCAGCCCGCCGTACATCGTACTTTAGCACCACTACTAATAAGAAAATGACCGAGCCATTACGCAAAAACATCGCGGCCCCTTTCAAACAGACTGCCGTCCATAATCCCTCATTGAGTGTCCATTTATGAGTTGACCAGCTGAACGAAAGCTCCCATTCGACGAGCTTACAACGGTGCTACGCAAGTAGAGCTAGAGATTTTCGGTACCTTAATATGTTGGTCGGGGAGTGGTGCTTTCGCAAATTAATTCCTCTATCTGCAGGGGCAGTTATGATCCAAAAATGATCGCCTCTCTCGCTCTGGCGCGATCAATGCTCTTTAATGTCCCCAAAAAGGCAGACCCGACTTCTATTACGTCACCACCGTGCGTAAATTCTCCAGCTATTGCTACGAAATATGTATATGAATTAGCGAGTCAAATTATCTTTTAAATGATTCCTTAATATCAGCATTGGGTAAGAAATTTCAGCGTAATTTAGTAAGCAACGGGTTCTAGTAAAGATCACAACGTAAGCTTTGAACGTTTTCAGATGAATATTGTGACATTGCTGTAAAAATATGTAACGACGAAATGTAGAGCATGTTTTGGGGCGAAAGCGATCAGTGTACATGGTATTTGAACTGGTGTTCTCTAATTTAGAGACAACATCCCGAATTAATACATGGCTTTCGATGAACTGTAAACTGTAACTGAAGCTGTGCAATTCGATGAGATATACGCGATGATCTGAAAAGCAAAAACCGATAGACGTACTTGACGTATGTTGTGAGAGCACTCACCTCGAGGGCAGATGATAGAGAGGCTTTCTCTTGCTTCAGAGTTTCCACACGGCTCTTGTACTGGAGCAGGGAGCGGACAGTCTCCTCCATCCTGGAACGATGAAGAAAAAAAAACATAAATAACCTCGGTCATAACGGTCAATTTTGCATTATTATTTTGGTTTCTTAAACATAGCACTTTTGTTTTATGAACACGTCTCTGATAGAAACAGGAGTGCTGGTACGTACACGAAAAATTAGAATCAGCAGACGTTTAAAAATACTAATGCCAGATTAAATATAACAAAAAGCCGAACGAAACAAATTTACTTTACGATTACGTGTTAATATTTAATAACCCGATTTTTTATAACTCGAAAAATTATTAAGTCTTTAATTAGTAATAATGGTAAGAATTAAATGAATGAATTAGATTTAGAATGAAATTAATGAATGAATTAATTTAATTAAAGATTTAAATTAGTGAATGAATTAATTAGTAATTATGGTAAGATCTGGTGGGCAATGGATTTTAGGTAAATCTACTCTACCGACATGACTACCCTAGGTTTATTCGAGTGGATGGTTGATGGAATTCAGTGCTCCTGTACATTTATGAGAGATACATTCGCATATGGGAGAATATTTAGTAGTTAAGTAGCAAGGAAATTAAAAAATTGAACACAACACTCGTGAATGTATTGAATAAAGTAATCTCTTTGCGCAGTTTGCGGGAGGTTTCTTTTTAATTTATTTACATTATAAGCCGCGTGACAATGGGCGCGGAGGCTCTCTAAGCGTACTTCATTACGACGGATAATGCTGGCTTGGGCTGAATAATCTGGGTGAGGAGATTTGCATACTGTACTCCGTAAGATGGAGAGTTCACTTTAAGTAAAACAATGTTAACAGCGAATGTCTCCGCGTCAAGAGAAACAATAATATTCAAGGGAGAACGGCATGAAACACCCTAGGATTAGGAATTTACAAGAAGAGTGGAATAAAAATCTGTGACAAAAATTGTTAGTGATTTGCCACCGTTACACAAGGTCTGTTTATAGTTTCACCGAAAAAATTCGGTGCTCAATAATAATATAAATTTAATAAAGTGTGTTGATGTTAATAATATATGAGCAAACATTGGATTCGAATATGGACTATATTCGAATCCAAAGTTTGCCGCTTTTGTATGCGTAGATTTTGAGAAGTAAACAAATCATCATCATCATCAACATCTTTCTATCATATATCTATTATCTTTTTGAGTCAGCAGTGAACATAGGCCTCCACAGACTGCCACGAAGCACGATACTGAACCACTTCCGCTCATTTGCATTAGATGGAGTGAGGACCCGTGCAAAGGTGCGGGAAGTAAAATAATTTTTCAATGAATAATATCATTATTATTGTGTTGATATTAGCGAAAGTTTTTACATAACGACATTAATAGCCGGTAGTGTTTCATTAAATAAATACTGTTAAATGTGATAAAGGTGCGATTTTAAAGTTTTTCGTCTATACAAAATTTAGTTTATCTTCGATCAAACAACGGGTTATATTATATTTGATAAAGACACATTCTATAATCTTCGCGAATTGGTTCCTGAATATTAATCGTACCAGCGTATATTGGTCTATCGCACTTGATTATGGCTCATTGGGTGCCGTGTGTGTGAACACAAGCCGAGTGCTCATCAGTTCTATTTTGCCGCTTCTAACGGTGTCATTAAGCAAAATTGTGTAAGCAATAAAGTATCTTAATATAACATTTACTTTTTTTAATCATGTGCTCTGTGTACAATAAATAAATAAAAATAAATTTACAGTACAAATTTGTTGATATCATAATATAGAAATATAGCCCGTTGGCTCGTTTACATTAGTGTACGGAACGCCAGTTAAATTTTGTTTCAATCAACTAAAATTACTCGATATAACACTTTGAAATATCGCGATTCATAAACTCGGATTTCATTATGACTGTATAACGTCGTGAAACAAAACATTATAAATGTCTACGGCTCGTTTCTTAATTTAGTAAATCCCCGTTTTACTTTGCGCCACAAAAGCGGGGGAGTCCCGTTCAGTGGGCTTAAAAGATAATACCCGAAAGGAAAACTCTCCGCTAGCGCAATCATTCCACCCTTCTTAATTATTAATACACCGTTGAGAGTTCAGATTACAGTATTAAAGAAAATGTTACGTACTTGATTATGGGCAGTAGCCGGCTCTGGAGTTTTGTGTGTCGCCTTCGCCCATTAAGGTAATGAGGCTGCGTTGTTATCATTTAATATTACCTCATAATAATTGTGCCCTCGGCTGGTTTCGGCCAGTACGCACAGGGTTAGAAAGAGTTAGATAAAGTGGATGAACTTAAATGTGTGTATTTCTTTAAGTACCTAAAAATACGGAAACATATACGTATGTGACACGTTTAAGCATTTCTTTTAGACGCAATCGTAATATAAATAAAGATTTTATTAAAATGAAAATATAAATATATAATATGAAACTTCCTTAATTTCGTTATAGATAATAAAATTGTCCTAAATTTGACTTTCAAGAATGTTTCCTACATTCGACAGAATTCCAAATTACATAGATATACTGGTTTGACAGCGATAGCTGAGTCAATATAAAACCTTTTCAGAAGAAGCTATCAAAGTATGTTACATTAATATTTTTTTAATGAATTTGTTTAACATGAATACCAAAATTATTAAGCAGTTAAAATTGGTTTAAATATGAGATTGAAATGGAACACAAATAGGTTAATCGGCAATTTCATTTCGACGATATAACGAACGGACCAATGAACTTTTTCAATAAATCCGAATGGAGGAATAATGTCGGAGATCTGTGGACGTAATTTTCCATTTTTCTTTATTCAATATGGCGCCGACTCGAGTTTAAAAAATTAGAATTGAGATACTACCCGCGGCCGATTTGAAAGTGAAATCCGGGAAAGTTGCTCCCGTCTTTACGGTTTTTTCACTCTGTTCGATTCGAACAGTTCATCGTGGAAAATTTTAAACGGGAATAGATCCGAAAGTAAATAATACATCGCATGACTGAACTTCGAAATTAGATAACTTTCTTCACTACATATTAATTATCTTAAAATTGTTAGGCTCTTTATATTTCGACTTGGAAAACTTTGTAATTTTGTATGATTTTCTTACTTCTAGGAAGCGGACTTGAGAGTACAAATTTCATTTATATCCTACGTAGGCTTAAGTTGCCAATTTGAACAACATGTAACAGGCTTAGAGTTAAAATCGGATCGTCGGCCAGCGACTCCCACCTGAAAATTAGCACGGTTTTCGGATGGAGTGAAAAAAAAAAAATTAATCGCTCACAAGGCCGTAACTGGGCCCGTTAGCGCCGCGGGCGCCGCGAATTTCCCACGTGGAAAATCTAGGTGCGGGTATTCCATATTTTCGACCGAAGTTTCGTCCGTGGGTTTCATTACGGCGAATTAATGCTCCCCGCGTTTTTTTCCACGGCGCACTGTGTTTTTTTCGACGGCATACGGTTTTACTGCAGCCGGTCACGGAAGCCTTATCGACCGGTCGATGGTCCGGTGTTAGGCAATAGCCTTCTTGATGGACCAATTTGTGGTCATCGCCGGGCAGTGTGTTGGGAGGCCAACTTCGAAACACGAATTCAGCCTTAGCGAAGTTAAGTTTATAGCGCCACAAGTTGACCTTTTAACCGCCCGCGTCTTTGCCTTCGAGTAATGCTCGATTTTTAAACGTTGAAAATATCTTGAGGGTTGGTTAAAAAAATGCCTCTTACACTAATAGGAATACTAATTCCTACTCATAAATAGCCGGTGGTTTTAGAATTAAAGTAGTAATAGAATTTCATAATCATTTTGGTTTCCCCTGTGCAGAAAGGACTGAAATTAATTCTTTGTGATTCCAAATTTAAAGGGAAAAGATAATTATCACACATTGCATGTAATACTGTATTGACTAGGATGGTACAAATATTTTGAACCACTTAATGAACCAAACGGCTAAACTTATTTGTAATAAATAATGAGGGTATAACAAAATAGAAATATTACAAGAAAGTTTTATCCCAAGTGCCGGTACTCCTTGTTTGCGAAAAAAAGACATTAAGTACAGTCCATAACGGTAAAATAAAATTATTAAAACTTTCGTCAGACATTACTAACGTAATAATAAGACGGTTGAAGTCATGTTATATCGGTGTATGTACCGACTAGAGCGAGACGGGGCGCGAACGTGAACTAATCCCACTCACTCTGATGAAGGGCCGATGAGTCCGAACTAGTCGGTACATACACCAGTTTAAGGTGGCTCCAGCCGTCTTATTATTGCATTAAATCTATAACGGTTTAATTAAATAACTACTAATAATACGATTAATAAATATTAATATGATTCAATACAGCATAACACTAATAAAGTAATTAAGTATAGAAAGACAGACATTATAAAGCCGTTGCCCGTTTTGTTTTTCCGATTTTTAAATTATTAATGCTAATGTTGGCTTAAACGGCCGAGTGAATGTGAAACAATTGTGAAGAGGTAGCGGGTTCTATATTTTTTGGGAAAGCCCTTCTTTGGTCTTTTTTTACGTAATTAATTAAATTTTTTACGGATCTTTTGATAATGTTGTATTTTAGTAGTTTTTTTACCACGCAAATATATTAAAGTAGTTATCAAGTTCACTAGAACGTTCAATGTTTACTAGTGTTTACTAGTGTAAACATTGAACGTAGTATTATTAAAATGACGTTTTCGTTTTATCGTTTTTCAATGTCCGTAGACGCAACTTAAAATAATAGATTAAACGACTCATCAAAACACAGCCCAGTGCTAAAACTCAAGTCCTGCTTAAATTTAAAATTTTACCAATGGCACGCGCATGTAGTTGTCCGTGTTGTCCATACATTTCAGTGGTCAAATACTAAAATGTCTACATATACTAGCTGCTGCCCGCAACTACGTCTGTGTAGAGGGGTGAAAATTTAGGGTTGTATGTATTTTATAATATCAGTCCTAAAAATTCCTAAATGGTTTACCAATTCGTATTTCTTCAGAGTGACGGTATTTCGTCATGAGCCAGGAAGAAATACG